ACCTAACACCCAAGTGAGCATTTTGCTCTGACACGCTTTACTGAAATGAAATGGAGCAGATGAATCTCTTTTGAGTACAGAATGTCCTTTGAAACTGGCACATTTGCTAACCAATAAGTGATTTTTCAGTACACTTTTACTGAAAGAGCCACATCCTGCTCACTCACTCCTTTAGCCACATCTTCAAAAGCATCAGTGGAGTTTGTCAACCTTTACAAACCCATACTGGCTGTTTATGAACAAGTGAAAATTTTCAAAGTGTTCAGTCACCCCTGTCCTCATCTATGGACACTAGTAATTTCCTGACAACAGATGTTAGGCTAACTGGTCAATAATTCTGTCTTCCCTCTTAATCTTTACTTAAATGACATACACAAATTTCTAATCAAAAGGAGCAGTTTTGAATCAAGGGAACTTTGGAAGGTTATGGTTAGGACATCTGCAATATTCTCACCTATTTCTTTTAAAATCCTGGAATGGGAAATGTCTAGTGCTGGAGATTTGTACTTTTTTTTTCATATTGTCATTTTGTTTGGATTAATTTTGGTGAGTTCTTGTGCCTGATTTACTTATAATTTCCTTCAGAATTTCCATGACGCTGATCTTTTCTTCTAGTGGAAATACTGGTATAAAGTCATGTTTCAATATCTCTAGTATATCCTTATTTTCACTTGATCATATCCCCATTACCCATTTTCAGAGCTCAGTATTCAGCAAAAAAATACCCCTCTGACCCGATTCTAACTTAGAGTCAGAGAGTCATAGAGAAGGACACACGGAAACAGACCCTTTGGTCCAACTCGTCCATGCTGACCAGATATTCTAAATGAATCTAGTCCCATTTTCCAGCATTTGGCCTATATCCCTCTAAACCTTTCACATTTATGTACCTGTCCAGATGCCTTTTAAATGTCATAGTTGTACCTGCTCCACCTCCTCTGGCAGCTCATTCCATACATGCACCACCCTCTGTGTGAAAAAGTTGCCCCTTAGATCCCTTTTATATCTTTCCTGTCTCACCTTAAACTCTAGTTTTGGACTCCCCAACTCTGAGGAAAAGACCTAGACTATTCACCCTATCCATGCCCTTCATGGTTTTAGAAACTTCCGTAAGGTCACTCCTCAGCTTTCAATTCTCCAGGAAAAGTAGCCCCAGTCTAATCAGCCTCTCCCTTTAGCTCAAACCCTCCAACCCTGGCAACATCCTTGAAAATCTTTTCTGAACCCATTCAAGTTTCACAACATCTTTCCTGTAGCAGGGAGACCAGAACTGCATGCAGTATTCCAAAAGTGGCCTAACCAATGTCCTGTATAGCTGCAACATGACCTCCCAACTGCTATACTCAATACACTGACCACATTTAAACATTATTTATAGACTGATCTATTTGAAGGTGACCAAAGACCGGGTAGATGTGGCTCGCAGACTAGCCCTATTCTTTCTTAGTCGAGATGAGACAGGAGGCACATACAGCAACTGAGTCTTCTCCTCTTCATTCCAGCATTAGAGCCGTGGCCTGCAAGTTCCACAAGTTCTCAAGAGAACAAATGTTTCGATGGCCAGCAGTTGAATTGCTTAAAGACATTGTGGGATAAAATTAGGAAGGGTCAGGACATGCAAAACAGGCTGTAGCATCAACTGGCTGTCAGTCACCCCTCACCAAGAATCCTTTGACTGCACTCAAAACCATGACCTCTACCACCTAGCAAACAAATGACAACACTTGTACGTTCCTGTTCAAAGTGCACGTCATCCTGACTTGGAATTCTATCGCCATTCTTTGACTGTCCCTAGATCAAAATCCTGCAACCTCCATCTCTAGTAGCATCTTGGGTGTATCTATTTCACCAGACTGCCACATTTCAAGGAGACAGTTCTCCCCGCCTTCTCAAGGGTCCCACCTTCTCAAGGGTAATTAAGAGAGTAAACGATAAATGCTGGCCCAGCCAGCAACACCTACATCCCATGAAAGAAACAAAAAAATCACTCTGTATTCAATTTCATTGATTCAATGTATTCAATGTCATGCCTGCACAGGCCGGTTTCACTCTCATTAAGTTTAAGATGTAAAAATGGGAGGAATTGTTTGTAATTTCCATCAATGGAGAATGATCAGCGGACTAACAACTAGAGAGGCTCTGGCTGTGATCATGCTGCCAACTGTATTATTCCCAATGTCTCCACTAAATCCACAGTCCTAGCAATGCACAGCTCTTCCAGCTCCATGCAGCAGTTGCTATGTGCAGTCCCATTCTAGTCAAGTGTTACTTGGTTATATTCATTTTGGACCAGAAAAGACTTCAGTGCTGTCCATTTCTGTAGACTCTGATTCTGAGCATTGTGTGTTAGGTTTTTGTGGAACTTTTACTCACAGGGCGGTTCTTATGAGGCAGGTCAGGGATCTAAGACTGTTCATAATTTATTTGTAAGCCATGGTTGAGCCACCTTTCCTCTTATTTTTGTACCAGACAAGAATGAATTCATGTCGTTATTTATGCATATTTTTTAAAATATTAGCCATTGCCTATCCACTGTCAGACTCTTTAGTAAAGTTCCCCAATCCATCCTTGCCAATTGGCACCTCATACTCTCACAGTGTTTCATCAATGCAACTTGGTTTTCATTGAAACCTCATCCAGCTCTACAACCCTTTGAGATCTTTTTGCCCCTCCAATTCCAGTCACTTGCATATCTCCATTTTCCATCACTAAGCCGTGACTGCTCATGCCTTCAGTTGACTAGCCTGCAAGGTCCAGAATTTGCTCATGACATGTATGAAGAAATAGGAGCAAGTTTATGCTATTTGATTCCTTGAGCCTGCTCTGCCACTGAATGAAGTCATGACTCATCTTAGGATAATGGTCCCAGTGCATTTCATTCCTTTTGTTTCCATTACTAATTCCTCCAAGGCACCAGGGTCACTACTTGACTCTTCTCCTCTTTATATATTTTTAGAAGGGCTTACCGTTTTTTTCAAATAATCTCATAAAACTAAGTTTATAGCAAAGTTAAAAAGACAAGTCTAAAGGCTTTGTGTCTTAATGCACTGAGCATTTGCAATAAAGTAGATGAATTAGCAGAAATAGATATACATGGTTCTGATTTAGACAAACTAAATATCATCAAGAAAGAGATATGTTTTTGGTTTCAAAGGCATCAAATGGTGTGAGGTGGAAGTAGTAATATGGCATCAAAATAGAGGATCAGCCATTATTGTTTGGTGGAACAGGCTTAAAGGACCGAATGGCCTATTCCTGCTTCTGTTTCTGTATTTCTTTATGTGCTTACAGAGATGTTAAGTATGAGAGTATGACATGCTAATTGGCAAGGATGGATTGGGGAGCCTTACTGGAGGGGTTGACAGTGGATAGGCAATGACTAATATTTTTAAAAATGTGTGTAAATAATGGTATTTATTTATTCTTGTCTGGTACAAAATTAAAATAGGAAAGGTGGCACAATCATGGCTAACAAATAAATTATGCATAGTATTAGGTCCAAAGAAGAGACATTTAAAATTGCTAGAAAAAGCAGCAAGCCTGAGGATTGGGAGAATTATAGAATTCAGTGAAAGAGGACAAAAAGTTAGATCGGGGGAGAAATGGAATATGAGAGTAAAATGGAAGGGAAGATAGAAACTGACTGAAAAAGCTTCTGTAAGTATGTGAAGCTAAAAGGATTAGTAAAGACAAATGTAGGTCCCTTACAGTCATAAACAGAGAAAATTATAATGAGGAAAACAAAAATGGGAGAAGAATTGAACACAGACTTTGGTTCTGTCTTCTCGAAAGAGGGCACAAGAGACCTCCCAGAAATGGATTCAAAAAGTGCTAATGTAACAGTCTTATTCAAAAAGGAAATGAGACAAAAAAAGACACGTATCTATAGGCTAGTTAGGTTAACATTTGTTATTGGGAAAATGTTAGAGTCTGTTATAGAGAATGTAATAACAGAACATTTAGAATTACATCATATGATCAGACTGAACATGGTCTCATGAAGGGGAAATCATGTGTGACAAATTTAGTAGAAGTCTTTGAGGAGATACCAAACAGGATAGATGAAGGGGAACCAGTGGATGTTATATCTTTGCATTTTCAGAAGGCATCTGATAAGGTACCACACATTAGTTTACTTAATAAGATAAGGGCCCAGGCTGTTGGTGTAATGTATTAACATGCATTAGAGCACTGGCTAACTAATATAAAATAAAGGGTTGTGATAAGAGGTGCATTATCAGGTAACCTGTAACTAATAGAGTGCCAAGGAGACCAGTGAAGGGGACCATTACATTCATGACTTGGGTGAAGAAAGTGAATGTACGAGAGCCATGTTTGCAAATAGATGGGAAGGTGAGTGGCGAGAACGACACAAAGAATCTGCAGAGTGTTATAGACAGGTTACGTGAGTGAGTAAAAACTTGGCAGATGCAATGTAATGTCGGGAAATGTGAGGTTATGCACTCTGGCAGGAAAATACAGAAGCTGAATATTATTTAAATGTAGAAAAACTTCAAAAAGCCATAGAACAGAGAGATTTGGGAAGCCTCGTCCTTGAATCACAAAAAGCTAATATCCAAGATAAAAAGGTGTAGAGTTGGATGAACACAGCAGGCCAAGCAGCATCAGAGGAGCAGGAAGGCTGACATTTCGGGCCTAGACCCTTAACATCAGCTTTCCTGCTCCTCTGATGCTGCTTGGCCTGTTGTGTTCATCCAGCTCTGCACCTTGTTATCTCAGATTCTCCAGCATCTGCAGTTCCTACAATCTCTAAGCTAATATCCAAGTTCAGCTGATTATAATGAAGGCAAATGGAATGATGGCCTTTATTTCAAAGGGAATGGAGTATAAAAGTAGAGAGGTTTTGCTAAGATTATACAAGTCACTAGTCAGACCACAGCTGGACCACAGTTAAAACCACAATTTTTAATCCAAGGCAAAATATACTGGCATTGGAGGCAATCCAGAAAAGGCTCACCAGGCTGATACCAGTTATGGAGGGACTATCGTATGAGGAGCTGTTGAGTACATTGGGCCTGTACTTGTTGGAATATTGAAGAATAAGAAGTGACGTTATTGAAACATGCAAGGTTCTCAGAGGACATGGCAGAGTAGATGGCAGGCTGCATTTCTTCACAGTGGAAATCCGCAATTCCTTACCCTTGTAAAGGAAACTGGGGGCAATTGAAAATTTCAATTTCAAGGTATCCAGGGTTGTTGAGTGATTGCATTCGCAGGGACAAATCAGCTAATATCTAATTGAAGCTGGCACCAAGAAGTGCACGGCTCCCTCCCATTCCTCTTTGAAAATATTCCTTAGAGCTTCTTTGATTCAAGTCTCCCCGGATGTTTTATGACAACCTCCCCCCCTCCACCCACACACGCACACATACACACACAGAGGTGCACAGAAATGCAAAATTGATGCGAGCTGCTCTCACTGTTTCCCTTTTGTTGTCACAGAATCAGTTTGTGTACCGCGATTGTCTCTTCGGACCAGAGGAAGGGATGTCCCTGCACAGCCGGCCGCCCACCTGTGCCAGCTCTGCCACACTGGAGGACCAGGGTGCTGCCTCATCGCTGGAGGTCTTCGATGACGCCTGTTGCAACGGGACGCTGAGGAAGCAGGTGCCACGCCCGAGGGAGGACAGTGCCACCCAGCGGTACAGCGCAGACCCTACGGTCTTCCTGTCAGAGCACGGGCAGAGGAGTGAGCTGGATGAGGATGGCTACATGACTCCCATTCAGGATAAAAAGGCAAAAGGCAAGTTCAGCAAATAGGGAGGGGAATAGAGGAAGAGATGCCCGTCGGGAGCACTGCGCCAGCCAGCGATATGAAGGCAGCGCTGGATTTGCAGCAGAGTCTGTTTCAACAGAGTTTCTGCTGAGCTCAATGACAGAACACATAGCAAATTCCTGACTGAAGCAAACTTATTAACCCAGAAAAAATGCCTGGAGGATGATTCCATAACATAAATAGGAAGAGTAAGACTTATCTAAGTCAACCACCAATGTAATTGGTAGGAGGGAAACTCTATTGTCTCTCTTGTGATCAGGAATAGCTGCACCATTATAGAGTCATAGAGTAATGCAGCATGGAAACAGGCCCTTCGGCCCAAACTGGTCCATGCTGACCATAGTGCCCACTCAGCTAGTTCCAATTGCCTGCATTTGGTCCATATTCCTCTAAACCCTTCCTATCCATGTACCTATCCAAATGTTTTATAAATATTGCTGTTGTACCTGCCTCAACTACTTTCTGTGGCAGCCTATTCCATATACACACCACTCTCTGTGTGAAGAAGTTGCCCCCTCAGGTCCTTCTTAAATCTTTCCCCTCTCACCTTAAACCTCTGCTCTCTAGTTTTCAATTCCCTGTACCTGGGAAAAAGTCTATATTCATTCATCCTATCTATGCCCCTCATGATTTTATACACCTCAATAAGGTCACCCCTCAATCTCCTATATTCCAAGGAATAAAGTCCTATCCTGGCCAACGTCTCCCTATAACTTAGGCCTACTAATCTTGGCAACATCCTCGTAAATCTTCTTTGCATACTTTCCATTTTAACTATGTCTTTCTTATAACAGGGTGACCAAAACTGTACACAATATTCCAAGTGTGGCCTCACCAATGACTTATACAACTGTAATATAACGTCCCAACTCCTGTACTCAGTGCCTTGACCGATGAAGGCCAGCATGCTAAACGCTTTCCTCGCCACCCTGTCCATCTGTGACATCGTTTTCAGCGAACTATGTACTTGTACCTCTAGGTCCCTTTGTTCCACAACATTCCTCAGGACTTTACCATTTACAGTATAAGTCCTACCTTGGTTTGACTTTCCAAAGTGCAACACCTGACACTTATCTGTATTGAATTGCATTTGCCAATCCTCAGCCCACTTCCCCATCTGATCAAGATCCCTCTGTAATTTTTGATAACCTTCCTCACTATCAACTCCTAATTTTGTATCAGCCGCAAACTTACTAATCATGCCTTGTACTTTCACATTCAGGTCATTCATGTAAATAGCAAACAACATTGAGGGGAAATGTGGGTGGGAAAGCCATTGGAAGAATTTTACAATATAAACTGAAAAAGCTGGAAATATTCAGCAGCTCTGGCAGCATCCGTGAAGGGAGAAATCGTGTTAATGGGAGGAATCCCTCTTTGCACATTTGGTATGAAAGAAGCTTTTGATCAGGCTGAAGGGTGATGGCTTGGGAGCACACAACATTCCCACCTTCACCTTCATTAAGTTCTTGGGGGGTGGGGGTGGGACAGGCAGGAAGAGCCCTGACTAACCTTTCTGTCTCATCAATTAATGTCCACTTAAGGGCCTCATCAACATCTCCAAACCCCAACCAATTCCTGCCCATCAGTAATTGTTCTTGAACTGACTGTGGTGGCCATTTCAATGAGTAATTCAGAGTTCAAAATGCACAGATCACAACCTTTGAAAGGCAGACAGCAATCACAAAGCACCACGGCTGGGAAACATACAGATCAGCTTAAATTAACCACAGAACGTGCATTTGTCACCTTTGTTCTCCTAATCTTCCTTTATAACATGAACATGAACAAAAATATACTGCACTAGTGGAATCATGGTTCTAACCTTTGGAAGTGTGGAGTTTCAGGAACAGTTCTCTTTCTCTCCCTTCACAACCCCCCATCCCCCCTCAACCCCCACCCCCAAATAAATTGCCTTTTCCAATACTTAAACTCCAACCAGCAGGAAAGTGCACATCACATGAACATTTTCACATAACTATTTTATCGGCTTGCTACATGGTAGCACATTTCCTAGACTAACTGCACTTCAGCTGTACTGAAGTGTTTTGGGGTATTTTGGAGGCAGACATCCAAACTGTCTTCCTTCAGACTGCAGTCGTAGAGCAGAAGTTCCAATTTTACAGAGGGAAGCCCAAAACTCAGACAAGGAATACGTTACTGACAAAGAAGGGGCAGATCTAACGAACAGAGTCACTTCTGAATGTAAAATGGAGGTAACCAGATGACCAGCATTTCCCCCCCCAAATCGATCCTGCAAAGAGAGAGACTGAACCTTCACACTGTGTTCACAAACACACACATACATACTGCCTCTCTCTCTCTCTCTCTCACACACACACACACACACACACAAAGTGTGAACATTCATGCTGTGTTCACACTGTCACATACATAGTGAGAGGGTGAACCTACACACTATGTTTGCACTCACACACCGTGAGAGAGCGAGCATTCATGCTGTGTTTACATTGTCACACTCACACCACACAGAGTAAACCTACACAGTGTGTTTCCACTGTCACATACACAAACATAGATTAAACCTTCATGTTGTATTTACAGTGTCACACAGACATACTGGGAGAATGAGCCTTCACACTGTCTTTACATTGTCTTGCACTCATTGGGTCAGATTTTATTGCTACAAATTATTTTGGACATTTTCCCCACCATTTAATGACCCATCTCCAAAATCATGGAGTGGTGAGTGGTTGTAAGGATTGGCATGCTGCCTAGAATTTTGAAGTGAGTAATGAACAAAACATTGAGTTTGTTAACAGCCCACGTTGTCTAGTTTTTGAGGCCTTTTGCGCTTCCGTGCATCTGCTGTTCGACACTCTGGGAGGGGCAGCAGCTATGAAGTGATACACGAGACAAACCAGACCTGCCAACAAGCCCATGGCAGAAAGTTGAAGCAGCTTCTGGGCAAAGTGGCAGCATCTGTATTCTTCTCCAGCTCATTTTTGAAAATTTACAAGTTCTCAATTAGAAAAAATAAAGAGATATCGGAGAGCAGTAGACATTTGATATCGTATCTGAGGCTGATGTTCTGCTTATCGTTGCGCGTTATATTTGGCCCCTACTATGCAAGAGAACACTACCACTGTGTTTACATCACCTGTCTCAGTATGTGTGACAATGCTCCCTCTGTGTTTTACTATATTCAAAGTGCTATACAAATGCATATCTCTGTGGCTCTGTGATTAATTCTGTGCCCAAGGCTTAGTCAGAAATAGATGGGCACCAAGGAAATGAAGCAGGAGCAATACGTTTACAAGTATGGTGCACTGACACCACACGGATATATGAATTATAACATTCTGAACTTTTTGCAGGGGTTAGTGAGCGAGTGGGTACCACCCAGGAGGAGCGAACACTTGCAAGACCATCCAAGGCAGATGCCAAGGTCAAACTGTCACGCGCAGGTCAGTAATCTCCTGTGAAAAATGTTCTACTTTGCAATTTGTCATACGTGTTGTCTTTTTTGTTTTACCCTGAAGTTGTGTAGACTCTAGGATTTGTTGTTTAACAATGCAGAGCTTCCAAAAATAATCCTGAAGTGACAATAGCAGCTTGTTTCACACCAGTTGTGTTCATTACTGAGGCAGTAACCTAAAAGGGTTTAAGGCTAGGAATTCACAGATCATTAAAAGTATCCAGAGGTTAACAGAGCCATATAAAATGTAAAGCTCTCGAGTTGATTGCTCGAGAAGTTCTGATAAACTTGTGGGGAAACTGCATTCAGCTAAGGCCTCTATATTAACAAAATGATATAGAGGAACTGTGAAATAAAGGTTTACAAGACCAAGACTGAAAATGAGGGATTATAACAGACAGGCAAGACTGAACAGGCTTTCCAATAGAGAAAGTTGGGAAGTGATCTGTTGAAGGAATAACGATCACGTGGCATGGTAATAAACTAGGAATTTTAGACTCAAGTCACATTTCAGTAAATGGACAAAGATCAAACAAATGTGGTTCAACCGAGGTTGGGGGACATGGTAGAGTGCCAATTCCTTTCTAGCCCCCCTTCTGCACTGATTGCTACAAATGTTCAATTTAACTGGGTTGATGATATGGTCAAATCCAAGGGTCACAGATGATATATCTGGTTTAGTGTTGGACACTATCTGGTCAGGTTTCTCTAGTCAACAAAAAATAATAGATTACGATAAATGAAACTTACTCACTCCAGCCTCTGGAGATTATTGACAGAGAAAGGATT